TTAGCTCCGTGTGACTTCTTCCTCTTCCCAAAGTTGAAAATTCAGCTAAAGGGAAGGAGATTTGAGACGATAGAAGAGATTCAGGCAGAATCGCAGATGGTGCTTGACAGGCTGACAAAGAAAGATTTCCAGGGATGCTTCCAGGTTTGGCAGCGGCGCTGGGATCGTTGTGTTCACTCCCAGGGGAACTACAGGGTGATGGATGAATTTAATACCTGAGATAAGTGTACGGGTTTTTATAGGCGCAGTCTTGAAACTTTCCGATCGCACCTCGTATCTCCCATTTTGCGATCATTCAAGCGAAGTTCTTATGATCTTTCCTAACGCCCCTGTAAATTGCGGACCATCCACCGTGAAGCGTTTATGCATCCTAGATCCCTCAAGACCTCCTGTTAGAGATATCACCTTATGACGACGTAAATTACAAGACCAAGGTTATAAAACTGGGTTATCAGTCAAAAGTGGGGCTTGATACCAAGTACTTTGGAATTGAACCTGCGTGATAACCTGTTTTGTCAAAATGGGAAATTAGAAATTGGAACGCGTGTTGGTTCACTGGTTTTACAAGAGTAGTAAGGCCAATATTTCAGGATGTTACAATAATAGGCCTATTGTGAATCCTTAAATGGTAGACTGCTAATTATATTATATTTAACAATTAGAACAACATTAATGTTTAAAGTATCTTGCGTCTTCGTCCCTTATATGTCAAATCATTGTCACAGTCTGTTATCAGACACCCGCAATGCAATTTACAATTGTTTCTTTGGACCTATCGCAACTTTTCGGAAGTTCTTATTCTATTTATACTTCTGCCCACGTTCCGGTGGAATAAGAAAGAGCCGAGGAAGTCGACTACGATAATTTCCACAGATGCATTTCTTGCATTGAAGAATAAACTCCAGGTTTAAAAAAAACACCTTTCTAGAGGAAATATTGAAATATTTCCTCTCTTCTTTTTCAGAGTCGGACATTATAAGGAAGCCATCCCATTACTTATGTCATTTTGAATCAGTGACAGAAAACCCTGGCCAATACTTTACTTCTTTGTCATCAGAAATGGATGACTGCATTAAGAACGTTGGCAGAAGATACGGTTTATTCATCCGAGAATCTTTAATCGACTTAAGTCGCCCTGAAAACTTGGCTTTATACATGGGTTAAGAACCTTCTTGTTGAGTTCTCACCAAATTCACGAAATTTAACGATTGATTGAACTAGCGCGAACGAACTTTGAAGATAAAATTCAATGAAGTGTCACTTGATGTGTTTTGGATTTCAATAAGGTAAGAGTGTCTTGTGGTATCAGCAAAAGCAGTGAACATCTTACTAAAATTTCAAACTTCTTTTCTCTGTGAACAAGCTTTCTCATCTCTGACAAACATTAAAAGCAGAGAAAGAAATCGTCTGTGAGTGTGTTTGTCAGAAATTCCGCCAAGGATTTAACATTTGTACAGAAAGAAACAAATGCTTAAATGTTATTTTTTACAACGTAAGATGAATATATATATACTGTCTTAATGAGATCTGCCAGTTGTGGTGGAAATAATTTCAAACGTTGGTGGACAGTTTAAGATTGAAACCTTTTAAGGAGTGGTCCTCGTCTTTGTGATTCAAGGACTCGTAAAATAACAGCAAAGGAATTAAAGCAGTTTGCTACCAGCACAAGAAAAATAGGTTAGCCGGATTTTCGTGTCGAACGTGTTACAGCTCTCGTTTACTTAACAGGCAGCAGATGTAAGTTGTTGGTACGAAGGTCACGACATTTTGTCATTCAAACGGAAAATCAGCCGATCACAGAGAGGCCGCAAGGTCTGAGGCTTGGACATTTGGACCGTGGTTCCAATCCCACTCAAGACCGCTGTGTACAGGCAGAGGCCTTGCGACGGGATGATCACTAGTCCAAGGAGTCCTGCTAAATGTCTAAATACATAAAGTAACCTCTCACATGGGAGGAGGCCAAGGCCAAGGCCAAGGATGGAAACACTCATAAAATCATAAATTGTACACCACTTACATTTTTATGTCTCAGTCATCACGCTGTTTGAGTTTCCACTCCACCTTACAATTTCTTTTAGGCCGATTAAATCTAGTAGTCTACGTCAGCAAATTTTAGGCTTAATTTGTGCACCACAGTGCCCCAAAAGTTGGAAAAGTAGGGTTAAAATATCAAAATACAGGGAGAGGGGGCCAAAAGTATTTCGATATTTTCTTTTCGGGTGGAACGCCGTGTGGACTTCTAAGAAGATATCATCGTTTTGGAGAGACATGTTGTTTTAAACCCTGAAGTTGTAGGCATGTTGTCGGTATGTAGGTTACCTGTAAGTCCACACGGCGTTAACTTTAATTACCAGCGAGAGGAGTCTAAGAACGAAACACAGGAGAGAAGAGACAAGAAGCACGGAGGCCAACGAGAAATGAAGAAAAGATCAGAAAACGGAAACGAGAGAACAAAAAATGGATTAAGAGATAACTGAAGAAGCAGAATATATAAATGCTCTGGCTAGAATCGGTTAAGCCCTAGATCCTAGAGCCTAGAAACATAAACTATGAACGAAGTTTGTAATTCGTCCGTCAGAGACTTTTTGTACAATGTCCCAAATATTACAACGATGTAAATAGAATACAGGTAGGACTCGGTTTACGCCGTGGTTAGGTTCCTGAGATTTCCGGCGTAAATTGAAGCAAAAATATAATGGGTACATATGTAAATACATTAGGTTCAGTTCCAAGATTTTCAGTAATCAACACAAAATACTTGGAAAATGTTTTATTTTAAGAAATTTACGAACTGAAAATTGTATAATGTTTAAGAAAAATAAAGAAAACTTACTGCTTTAAAAACGATGAAATAGATGTCTGTTTGGTTCTCTTCTTTTCTGATAATAAGTTACAGTATGGCTGTAGAACTGTATCAATTCCTCTTTTAACGGTTGAACTCCGCTCCCAGTTGGGGTCGTTGTTACAGATGATCTCACATCCCTTATTAATAAGAGCGATAGCCTCTTGCATTGACCTATCGGCGTCCTGTTCTCTAGACACCAGTGCATGTTTGTCACTTCACTTGCAGTTCTTAGTCCATGGTTAATGTAATTTGTTTTCTCTTCTGTTTAATTATTTAAATTTTAGGCCGTAGTTTATCATTTAGTATTATAGTTTTATTACAATGTCGGGACCATCTTTGTCTAGGAAGTCGGGCAGAGTCATGACTCATCACCCCCTCCAATCGTGGCGTAAACCGAGTCCTACCTGTACTTGAAAAATTGCTAAAATCTTTCCATGAATGTGTTTATCTTTGTGTTGTGTAATCGCCACACCCTAAATGTGTTTCAGATAAATTGTTTGCGTATGCAATATTTAGTTAATAATTGACAGCTGTGTTGTAGTAACATGACTTGTTGCGAAAGAATTAGTTCAGTTCGTGTCAAAGATCAAAACCGCATAGAACAAGTTTTCGTTGCACCGTGATACGACTTTCTGGAATGAACTTATGATAACTTTATTTTCCTTCGTGCTATCATTTGTAGAGTCAGGCTAGTAGGAAATATAAATTAACAGTGATACAGCTTAGTGACATACATTATGATCATCTATGTAAAAACTCCGTATAGTAATTAAAGTCCGTACCAACGTTTCAAAGCAACAAACTGCCATCTTCAGAGCTCTTGTGTTTAGTCTAAAACGTTAATTAAGAATTCCTAAAAGTGATGTTTCTTATATCGTGAAAATTTCAGATTCTATTACGTAATATTTCCACCAGGATGAAATCTGAGTCCCTGATGTTTATTATGCAAAGTTGTTTGATACAGCAATTTGTGGTTGCCGATGAACCAAAATACCAGTGGTATTCAACCTTTTTTGTTCGCGTGCCCCCAGATATAATTTCTTTTCGACTTTGTACCCCCAAAGTTGGTGTATAATTCAAGTTATACATAGTATATAATCTACATCTAAAATAAATTAAATAAATTACTTTACTGATTATTCAGTGTTTATCATAAAATAATATATATATTTTTTAAAATTTCACGTGCCCCGTAAGATGTCTTCGCGTACCCCAGGTTGAATACAACTGGTCTAGATGAGTGAACGTGACGAATCAGCGATTGTTTCTAAATTAACAAACTGCACTACATTGCGCGCATTTAACTAGTCTACCAAGTCTCTGACCCCAGCAAAATCTAGGAAGGTTAAAGTCGCTCGGCTACTCAATAAATTCGCCATCTTTTGTGGAACGCCAAATTGCATTATCGCGTTTGGCGCCCACTATTATTCTGTGTCATTAAATAGTAACGTATCCGGTCAAGATTATCACACTACAGGTAGCCCTCGATTTGCGTCGGGGATGCGTTCCTGGACGAACCGGCGTAAATTGAAACTCTTTTATAATGTAAATCAATGGGAAGTCAATGACATGCGTTCCCAGCATCCAAACATTGACGAGTAATATAATGGCATTACATTTAAAGCTCTGAAATAACGTAAATAAAATAAAGGGAATTTAAAAAAAATATATTTTATACACTTACAATCGGCAATTCGTTGGTCCCCGCGTTTGACTGTGATTCTTTCATGTGACTGATGTGTACAGTCATCTCTGCTGTCATGCGATAGTTGCATTCATATAAGACGCCGACCTATAGAAAATCGCGTAGTAAAAATAACCCCGGGACCTCCGCAGAGATTAAATTAGTCCTTTGAAAGTTTAAAGCGCCAGGAATTAAATTGCATAAGAGCAAACTCGCATATGCAAAAGTTTGCATTTCACAAACAGCTTTTACCGATTCATCGATCTCGTTGGAGCAAATTCGCGTTAACGAAACGTACGTAATTGCAGAGATTACTATATTTATAATTTTTATTATAAATCAGTGATGTAAGAATTACGATTTAGTACGAGATACATTTTAAAACGTTATAAATAATAGTTAAATATATTTTTCTCACTTTTTGACTTTCTGGTTTCAAAATCGGCGAAAATTGAACCGGCGCAAATCGAGGGCTGCATGTATATTCGTTTAATTCAATTCATCTTCAATGCATCTACTCGTGACGTCATCACATGGCGACGTCATGGCTCGCGATTGCCTGCACGCATGTAATAACTCGAGTATGGCTTGGTGGATTTTCGTGAAATTTTGTATGGACGTTATGCCATTAGATTTGAAGGAGACTGGATTTTGTTGGCCCAGGGTCCGGTGGAGGGCTTTGGTTAGGTCGGTGATGAACCTCCGTGTTCGTTCAGCCATCTAGTTAGTTGGGTCCACTATTAGGAAAGCCTGAGGGGAAGAGACCTCTGGAGAGACCTAGACGTAGATGGGAGGATAATGTCAGGCGGGATCTATGGGAGATAGGAGTTGAAGGGGACTGGATTTTGTTGGCCCAGGGTCCGGTGGAGGGCTTTGGTTAGGTCGGTGATGAACCTCCGTGTTCGTTCAGCCATCTAGTTAGTTGGGTCCACTATTAGGAAAGCCTGAGGGGAAGAGACCTCTGGAGAGACCTAGACGTAGATGGGAGGATAATGTCAGGCGGGATCTATGGGAGATAGGAGTTGAAGGGGACTGGATTTTGTTGGCCCAGGGTCCGGTGGAGGGCTTTGGTTAGGTCGGTGATGAACCTCCGTGTTCGTTCAGCCATCTAGTTAGTTGGGTCCACTATTAGGAAAGCCTGAGGGGAAGAGACCTCTGGAGAGACCTAGACGTAGATGGGAGGATAATGTCAGGCGGGATCTATGGGAGATAGGAGTTGAAGGGGACTGGATTTTGTTGGCCCAGGGTCCGGTGGAGGGCTTTGGTTAGGTCGGTGATGAACCTCCGTGTTCGTTCAGCCATCTAGTTAGTTGGGTCCACTATTAGGAAAGCCTGAGGGGAAGAGACCTCTGGAGAGACCTAGACGTAGATGGGAGGATAATGTCAGGCGGGATCTATGGGAGATAGGAGTTGAAGGGGACTGGATTTTGTTGGCCCAGGGTCCGGTGGAGGGCTTTGGTTAGGTCGGTGATGAACCTCCGTGTTCGTTCAGCCATCTAGTTAGTTGGGTCCACTATTAGGAAAGCCTGAGGGGAAGAGACCTCTGGAGAGACCTAGACGTAGATGGGAGGATAATGTCAGGCGGGATCTATGGGAGATAGGAGTTGAAGGGGACTGGATTTTGTTGGCCCAGGGTCCGGTGGAGGGCTTTGGTTAGGTCGGTGATGAACCTCCGTGTTCGTTCAGCCATCTAGTTAGTTGGGTCCACTATTAGGAAAGCCTGAGGGGAAGAGACCTCTGGAGAGACCTAGACGTAGATGGGAGGATAATGTCAGGCGGGATCTATGGGAGATAGGAGTTGAAGGGGACTGGATTTTGTTGGCCCAGGGTCCGGTGGAGGGCTTTGGTTAGGTCGGTGATGAACCTCCGTGTTCGTTCAGCCATCTAGTTAGTTGGGTCCACTATTAGGAAAGCCTGAGGGGAAGAGACCTCTGGAGAGACCTAGACGTAGATGGGAGGATAATGTCAGGCGGGATCTATGGGAGATAGGAGTTGAA